AGCTAGCCGGGGGCTAGGCTAACTAGAGCCGCGAGAACACCGGACTCCCGGCAAATCGTTTTCAAACCCACCGCCGTCTTTTGCTACTCAGGTTAAACATGATATATAAGTCACTTAGATAACTTAAAAATGTTATTATTTGGCTTTTTTTGGTATTTTATTTGTTCCTGAGTAAATCGGTTTGGCTGAGATTAAAGTTATTAGATTAAATAAAACTTTATTAATCCCCCGGGTGGTTTTCACACAGCTGAATAAACGTCAAACAGAAAAGTGTGAGACGGTCGAGAGTTTACTCCAGTGTCCTGTTATATTTTAGATAGCAAGGAGCAGACGGCCGAGTTTATTAAACTCCACCGAGACAATCTGGAAATTTAATTAAAAGTTTGTTAAACTATCATCTGCTCTTTATTTTTAGTTAGCATACACTGAAACACTTGAAGCTGTAAGCTAATGATAGCAGATGCATGCTGGCTGTAATCAGCTGTTTCATGTCTAATGGATGCATCATCTGATTAGTCGACGAATTGCAAAAACAATCGTTTGTGGCAGCCCTGGTCCAGAACCAGAACAGCCTGTGGACTCTGTCTCAGGACGTTGGCCTTCTGGAGCTTCGGGACTTTGGTTCCTTTACATTCGTTTCGTTCCTTCATCCAGTTAAAAATGTAACCGTGGTTCAACTTTCAGACTGATGGGTTCCTCTCCTGGAAACCTTTACTTCGTCTGCTCCAACAATTTTGATTCAACCGTCCAGAAAACAGACGGTACTGTTGTGAGTCCACAGACGTCACCCTCACAGTCACTGCCTGTCAGTAGCTCTGCTCTGCCTCAGTTTGATTACAGCGCCACGACCGGCTTCTCCCCTGTGAGCAGGACTTGGTGGTGGTGGGTGGAGATCTGCCTCCACCCGGCTCTCTGTGGGTTAGCCTTATATTTATTATCATTTGTCTTTTCTGATGAGCTGAGTCGCCACTTCCACCATCGTCCGTTTGTTTCTCCGCTCGCTGCTGAAAATAACCTCGGAATTTCCCTCTGACGATCCAGCCTTTATAACCCGACCTCCAAATATTTTACCCATGTGTGAGGTCATCAGGGGATTGTTCCTCGTACGGTGGAAACCTTCCCTTCTGCTGCTTCCTGTTACTTTTTCCTTTTATTACAGTTATTGTTGATACAGTAGTCCAGCCTCGGGAGGAAACTCCACAATGGAACAAGCGATAAAGACCTTTAAGGTGGAACTTTAAGGTGGAACTTCAAGGTTGATGCTAAAACGCAGACACGGCGGTGCCCGCGCTTCCTGCCTGAACCCTTTCCCCCATAAAGACGACCTCAATGACAAATTGTGAAACCTCAGCGTGCATCAATAAAGTCGTGCTTTGGCGACCATTAGAGCAGTTTGTGCGTTTTTCTCGGGGTATCTGCAGAGAGCGCCCTCGCTCCCTCAAGCAGCCTCAGCAGAGCGTCAACAGTTACTGAAGCCAGTCTTCACGAGTCCATGACAGTCGACGCCATTTTAATATCTATGACTGCATTAACCAGCTACAGGAAGCGCCTCCACTCGCTCAGTGAAACCGAAATGACACAAACAGCTGTGATAAGCAGACGCGGTTTCTTTGGTTGGAAAAGGAAGTTGAACAAAAAGCCAAAAGGGGAATTTCTGATGTAATATTTGATTTCGTGTAATTTAAGAAAACTTCTGTATTCCCAAGAACAGAAACGACAAACATATTTAAACAGCGATGACGTGATGCGTGGGCATCAGCGAGTCTCCATAAATAAATCTGCACGTCTTTGGATGTGCGTTCCCGGGAACGTTTGATCTGGAGGTTTCTGATCAGAGCGACGAGTCTGACGCAGTCACATGACTAACCAGGTGGTGGTTTCATTTCTTTATTCCCAGTTCATGATGCACCATTTTTGTACCTTTGAGCACGAACCCAGAAAGGCACTAAAAATAAAACTACAGAGCAAAGTTAGTGGATGTGACTCGGCTGTTGTCAGGGGAGTTTTCCAGTAAATGAATTCCCCACGTAGTGGAATATTTACTGCTCCATTTTGGTCCCTCCTGTGAATGTGGCCGACTGTCGGGACTCTTTGGGACTTCCTGACACATCGGTGTCATTTCAACTCTTGTGGGAGTCAACGTGAAACCGGGGGGCTCAGTTTACTCGTCTGGGTGCTGGAGGTGTCGCTGTGTGAGTGACCTGCTGCTGAACAGGAAACTGAGTCAAGTGGAGTCAAGTGATCTGAGAGCACGAGAACTTCCTGAAGCCCCCGTGTCCTCAGACATTTACTGGAGATTTTAAAAAAAAATAGTTTAGAGGCTTTTATTGTGAAAAAGGTGCATTTCACCTGGTACAGCTCAACTAGGCCCCGCCCTACACGTCCAGCATTTTTAAATTCATAAAGTTTACTGCAAATATGAAATGTTATGTTTAAGATAAAGGAGAATATTTGGTTCCGAGTCATAATTTAAAACATCTGTTTCCACAGGATGTAATCAGAGTACGTCAGAGTCACCTGTCGACAGGTCATCGTGTACACGCCTGGTTTCTGAGACTGCAGTACTCACAGAGGGCTGCTCATCTTCCACATCAGTGTCTTGTAAGAGTCGCAGAGACCGAGGACGTTTGTGCTGAATGACAATCGAAGTGTGAAGATCTGCGAGAGCTTCAGAGCTCACGATGGAGTCCGTGAGAGAGAAGTTCAGACCAAACTTCAGCCATCCCTGACCGAACGTTCGCCACGAGCTCGTGAATAAATGAAGACTGATGATCTGATGGATGCGAGCCTCTGCCGCTGACAGCATTCACTCGCACTGAGTTATTATAATGATTATTACATCATACACGGGCCTTGCAGAGTAACTGAGAGTAAGTGGGTAAGTAGCTTACTCTTGAACTGAAGCATATTCATACCGTTCTTCTACATGTGCGTCACAGCGCCATCAACGCCTCGCTCCAGAGCTCCGAGCGAGCGCCATGCTAACTTTCCATCAGCAGCAGCTGAGCTCTCAAAGACGACTTATGCAAAGAGGAATTATTCTGATCCATGTTCTTACTCTCGGACTCTTACAGAGCAGCTTTGCATGATTAACAGTTTGAAATACTCAAAATAATCCTCTGACACTGGGCCTCAGGTCATCCGCCGCAACACGCCATTTTAGCTCCTCCCTCTTTGAGACAACTTTCTTTTAATTGGCTACAACTCACAAAGAAAAAAGGGTGTGGCTTCTATCCCGTTTCTTCTGACATCATTCAGATCCAAGAGTAGAAAAAACTATCAGAAACTTTATGTTTAATTGGAACATCTACCACTGGAACAGGAAGCACATGACAGGAAGTCATTTCAAAATAAAGTTCTCAACGTTCCACTTTGTGACAAAGACAGCAGAGCTGTTGGGACGATCCAGAGCAAGGTTTACAAGATGAATGTACGTCTGACTCATCAGGTTACACTTCTCTATTCTTTCCAGGAAGCCTGATTTTTAAAAAGCATTTGTGAGGTCAGATAAAATTCTTACTAACTGTGCAACAAAAGATTATGCAACCTGCAGGAAACCAAACCCCTGACTCCTCAATCACTGAGAAATCTGCAGCACGGCAGCGGAGGAAGTGAGAAATCGTGTTTGAGCAACATTAGTTTCTCCAGAATTAATTTTTAGAATCACGAGCACATTTCACGGCGACTATTCAGGCGTCTGTCGCTGCTTCAGAACACAGTTTAAAGTGTGTGCGTGTGTTTAATCGTGTAGAACGGCGAGAGGAGGGTCACTGTGTCTGTGAGCGCCGGGAGAAAGCAGAGAAACAGATGTAGGGGGAAAGATGGCGATGGAGCCGCGGAAAAATAAGTTGAGTTGAACACTAAACACAACCAGATGGGGACGGAAAGCAGGAGCAAAGGAGACTCTCACAGAGGAGGGGGGAGGAGGGGTGGGGCCACTGAGGAGGAGGAGGAGGAGCAAGTGAGGAATTTTTTCCTATCCCGACAGTGTTTTTTCCTCCCCTCCTCGGGAATGAGAGGGAGGCTTTATGTAATGTGAGGGTGCAATCATCGAGGCCGCTGCAGAGAAAGTCCCTGAGTGGATCCTCTCTAATGAGCGCAGCTTTTCCCCTTTAACAACCGCAGCCCGACGGCGCCGTCCAAACAGCCACGCCTTTATTTTCCCTGCGAGACTCTTCCTCACTTTTCTTTCGCTAAATCACACCAGTTCTGCTTTTCCTGTAACGCCAGCTTTCATCTCTCCCTGAGATGACTCACAGACGGGGGAACGACTCGCATCTCGTCACGGCCGTTTTTAAACGGGGTCACGTGACGGCCTGTGTGCGCTCCATCAGCGCTGATCACAAGTAGCTGTTGGTTTGGGCGCGGCGGGCTGAGCTCTCAAAACAGCCTCTGACCTACAAGTCACGAATACCACGAGAAGTTGAGAGCGTTCAGCTTCACTTCCTCCTGACTGTGTCACATGACGACCGCATTCATGCTGCGAATCCCACGCTCCACCCGAGTTGCAACATGGCGGCGTTACAAAACCTATTCGTGTCATCATCTGATGGTTCCGTCAAGACGGCAGCACGGCGCCAGGACCGGCCATGATACCTGCACCAGCACACACCTGGCCCCCTCCTCTGGATGACCACACTGACTGAGTTACAATGAAAAGGAGGAGCTGTTGGGTTGCAAAGCAGCTTGCAGAGGAAGCTGAAGCAGCTTAAAAGTGGGCTCTGAATGCTCCACCAACAGCAGCTTCCATACTGTGTGTTTGTGACAGAACTGCGCAGCACGAATGGCCCCGCCTCTCTGCACTGGACTCACTGGGATGTTCAAAAACCAGTCTGGCTTTCGCTGCGTGAGCATTTTCCTGCAGCCATTAGAGAACGGAAAGCCGTGTCCATGAAGTGATGCACATCATGGTGAGCAGCAACACTCTGCCTCTCCCTGTGGTATTCAAACCATGATTGATTGGTACAAAGAGGCCTGCAGTGGGCCAAGAACCCCCCCTCCATCACTGCAGCAGCTGCAGGCGGGATCGACATGCTCTGGCTTCACAGATCGGGCACGCCAAACCCTGAATCTGTGGGACTCAGCAGGAAATAACATTCATCATATCAACTTTTTCCATCCTCAAACTGTCCAGCGTTTCCTGAGCCCGTTCCCAGCTGACGCCCGACACGATACCATCATCCTCGCGCTGCAGCGCGTCGAGCCCGAGCAGCTGCTCTGCAGCAGCCTCTCTCTCGTCTACAAGGCGTGGTGGCCGCTCAGAGCCACAGCCGCTGGCCGGACGTGTTTTTATTTCCGGTGACTTAAACTCACAGCAGCAGCCTCAGAAACATGTGTGAGGAGGCTTAGAAGCCATGCGGTCCAGATTCATGATTTCAGTCAGAGAAAATCCACGACTGCAATTAAAGAAGCCGAACATTTGGAGGACGAGGATGTTTTAGTCATGTGTCGGGAGGATTTAAAGTTCTGGTCAGGTTCCTTTGTTGGTTCTTGGTCCAGGAAAGAACCACTGGAGTTGATCCAGGAATCCAGGAGAACTCCACACAGCGGGACCCCACCGGCGTTCAAACCCAGGCCCCTCCTACCACGCTACAACCTCATCTGTTCGTTCTTCAGAACATCTGTTGGACGGCGTTTTAAACCCATTTGATTTCATCTCAGCTTTAATAAGAGCGAGGAGGACGGTGAGCTTTCATCGCAGCGAGCTGATGTGTTTCCTCTGATAGATCCACATCAACTATTTATGCCCTGATAAGTGGAACTACTTCAGTCTGAGGCAGATGCACGATTGATTCATTATTAATGTTAAAATAATAACGTTAAACTATGATAGTGTCTAATAAATAGGTATAAACTAAGTGTTAGGGACATGAAGGCTTCACTCACTAATATATTTAATCATGAGCTCAGCTCTGACCAGGTGAGCAGGTGCTCGCAGAGGACAGTCCTAACCAGCAGGGGCAGCAGTGAGTCAGTCTCCATAAACATGTTTGGTCTCTGTGGATCATTTCCTTCCTCATGACACCTGCTTCTATAACTCAGTTTGCATTATTAGGGGCGTGGCCTCTTTGACGGACAGGTGGCTGTAGCTGCTAGCTGTTTGCTAGCTTCACCTGGACCGTGTTTGTGCTGTTGGAGCCTTTTCAATGACATCATGTGACCAATAATATGGCTGCTGTGAGGTCACTGCACGAACAGGCTGATTTTGACTGGAAGTTACTGAGCTGCTAAACACGAGGACGTTTTCACGCCTGTAGTTGAACTCTGGCTCGAGTCCCGTGAACTCCAAGCGAACCAAAAATGCGAGAATTATCCTTCATCTCAAGGCTAGCTGCTAGCTAGCATCTGTAGTTCACACGGGAAGCTCCAATGTCTAGCTGCACGCTACACAACCAGGTGCATCCTGGTTCAGATCGGTGCGAATCACACCTGCACCGAGCTAATGTTTCACATACGTCCTATGATTGTAGCACTAAATGAATCCTTCTGCTTTCATATCTAACAATGACTGACGGCAGGAAAGTCCGCTGGATTTGTTTTTAACCGTTTCGACCTTTGCTGCCATGAACCAGGGCCGTGACATGTTACCTGGATAAATAAAAGGTTCATAAACAGACAGGAGCATGACGTGGTGACGTGATATGAAGCAGACACAGATGAGTACGTACTGATGTAGAAGGTGCTGGGGGCGTGGTTTCCATCATATTCGAGACCCAGCAGGGTGGAGATCTTGGGGTCGTGTCTCAACCACAGGGCCACTCCCAGGATTACACCTCCGGTGAGCTGCAACGCAGAACACGGCACATGTAGTCATCCACGTGAAAGCTGTTTGTATGCATCCACACTGAAACACCAAAGTCACACAGCTGCACAAATCAAGGTGGAAGAGAAACAAGTTAAATTAAGAAAAAATAAAACAGAGTCTGGTGGAAAGTAACGGTTTCACTTCCTGTCTGACTGCAGGTGAAGCACTAAAAGTTCTCAGCATCCACTTATACTCCAACTAATTCTTTCAGGGGTGTAAAATCACAGTAGTCTACTTAGGGGGCGTGACTTACCGCCACCTGTTGCAGGTAAAACACAGACTGTAGATATGAGGCTCAAATAACAGAGACTGAACCATCAAAACTGAGAGAAAAGTTGAACACATCTTCATATCTCATATTTCTGTATAGTTTTTCATATTTATATCCTGTTCATAGCCTGTACATACTTATAGTTATAGCACATTCATAACATACTTCATACCGTGACCATATAACATACCATAATAGACCCATTTCTGTAATATACTCACACATCTATATTATTGCTAATATATATTGTAATATATCTATATCACTAAAAGCACTTCTGGATGGATGCAAACTGCATTTCGTTGCCTTGTACCTGTGCATGTGCAATGACAATAAAGTTGAATTCTATTCTATTCAGCCCATCACCTTTGAGATTCTGGTGTACGCTCCACCATCGGTCTGAGAAACATCTGCAACCGATCTGAAGCGACACGTTCCCCCAGTCACATGGTTCCCCCAGTCAGAGGAAATCTCTGTGAGCGCCTGATAACAACAAGCCGGCAAAACACACGTTTCCACTTCAAATTAAACACACAGACGAAGACGACTGCAGGAAGAAGTCAGAGTAAAGTCAGAGTGAGGAGGAAAGTTCAATGACTGCTTTCCCTCCTGTATCCATGACAGCATGTTGGGCTGATGTAATCTCCAAAATCATCCTGTTGGTCTGATTTCTATAAACGCAGCTGTGATCTAAACGAGCACAATAAGACCGAGCTGCTAAAGCTGTGGAGCTGAAAAATGACGCTCATCATCTCCATTTTAAACTCAAGCTTCACTGAAACCAAAACAACCCCCATCTTCCTCCTCCTCCTCCTCCTCCATTATCGAGGTCCATTCCAGCTCTACAGCATGCTGCTGCCTAGCAACCAGATCAACACCACGACACACGCACTTGGAGCATGACTCAGGGAGGCCGAACGGCCTCTCAGCGCGGTTTCCTGAGGAGCACTTAACTCTTTACCCCCGACAGCAGCAACCCCACCAACAAGACCAGTTTACATAACGGGTCAGCATCAGAAGTGGGCGAGGGAGGTCTGAGGGTGCGAGCACGCCGTCGTTACGGGGTCAGAGTGTTTTTATTCGTTCTGACTGAAGTTTGTTTAAAATCAGGTGGGAGACGGCGGTCGGATTCGTCACTTCATTTTTCCGCTGCTGTTCCTTTTCTGATGGTGACATGTCCTCATCTTTCACAACACGGGAGTGAAACTGTGCAGAGCGTTCACATGCAGACGTGTTTAGATGGCGAGCAGCTGTTTGACTCATTTACTGTTCAGTGGAAACTGTCAGTGTGACGTTTGCAAAGACAGCAGACGCTCCGAGTGTGGAAAAAGTTACGCATATTGATGAGAGTCGCTGGACGCGCCCACCGCATCCTCATCGCGGTGTCACAAGTGCTTGTTGCTAGGTTACAAAAACCATCACTTCTGCAAGTCTGACCCCATCACTTATCCAGGAAGTGAGGGAGAAAACAAAAACATGTCCGCCAGAGACGCCAGACAGAGATCAGGTGAAGACAAACCGAGAACAGGATCCAGAAAGTCCTGCTGACGACGCGGCCTCTGACAGGATCGAAGAAAAGCACGAGTCAAGCCTCGTCCAGAATAAACCAACAGAGCCCGACGGGGACCACGCCACGCCACGGGGACCACGCCACCCTTCAGCAGCCATGGTCACGTCTTCAGACGAGATCGTCGCGCGTCCCCGTGAGACATAACGCACACCTGTCAAACTGATGATCTAATCCTGATTGGAGGAACAGATTCTTGGCACGTTTACACAAAGCATTTTTACTCCAGTCAGGCTTTGAGTCCATGTGTCCAGGTAAACACAGATTGTGTCATAAGCCCCGCCCCTTTTGAAGCGCAGCAGATTTTCAAAAATTGAACATTTGTCAGCGAGCAGAGCCGGGAGAGCACCGAGGACTCGGACTGCGCTCAGGGCGTCTTTCATTCTGACTCCTGCAGTCATTAGTTTGACCAACAGTCCCGCCTCTTGTTGCCAAGTAACCTTTTAAGGTGTTTACGACCTTTGTCATTTAAAAGTACGAACGCAGCTTTATACTCGTGGCGAGGCGACGGGGAGTTCCAGCGATCATCGTGCTGAACGTGAGCTAAATGCACCATGATGGAGTCTCAATGAGCTGGATGCGGATCAAAGGGAGCCAGCTCGACCGGGGTGCTGGTGAGCACGTGAACCATGATTATGGTACCTGGGATCATTTCAGGACAGGTTGAAGGTAGAGATTGCAGAAGTCACAGCTCAGTAAGTCGTTTGCTTTTTGGAGTCCGAGTCTCATCAGCAGAAGAAACTCTTTCCTGTTTCAGAAACAAGCTCAGGCCTCACTGAGCCGAGCCGCCTTCTCCTCTCTCTCCATCACGCTACACAGTTGTTTAGAGAAAAACATTATTCTAACAGCAGATTGGAGGCTTTTATAAAATATATAATTTCAGCCAGTCCTGCTGAGACATTCCACTTCCTGTTGGTCCCATTGTGCAGACACTGCAGGAGCTCTGCCAGGAAAAACACTTCGTGATAAGATGTTAGCTGACTGACTCAACTGTACTTCATAATAAATAAATGATCCAAGTCGGACTTCCTTCCAAAGATCAAAGTTTGCTTAAACAGGTTCTTCCTGCTCTGAAACGAGCAGATCTGGACTCTGAGCAGATCACGGTCGGTGGGTCTCTCGCAGAGACGCACCGAGCCAGACCCATCTCAGCCTTTATCGGCCTGCAGGTTACCGTCGAACGCAGGGAGGCTGCGTGTCTGACTCTACATTCAGTTCAACTTTATTTATACAGCATCAAAGCACAACAACAGTCACATTCAGGTGCTTTACATCGCAGGTCACTACAGTAATGTCACTAAGTGATGCAGGAGGTCTCAGTATCACTGGAGCTGAACCAGATGTGTCACATAAATGACAGAAGCCTGCAGTTGGACTCTACGTGATCACAAACACAGACTCTGAGCTCTTACCTGCAGCAGCTCCTCCAGGCTGACCTGGATGAACATGGAAATGATGGTTATTCATTTACATTTTAATTTGTATTTATGAGGCGATATCGTTGATGTTATCACTGCTGTCTGTGGGTTAAAGTGCTCGCCTTAAACTCGCTCGTTTACACAAACAGGTCAGCGCTGAAGGACAATAAAAGGCAGCGACTGGCGAACCGTTACTGGTTTGGTGCTCTGGCCAGTTGGCCTGCTGGGATTACGAAGTTGCTTGGCTGTGTTTGACCAATCCCATCACAGTTTAATCAAACCCAAAGTGACTCACAGCTGCTGCTGGAGGATCCCGACACTCTTTGTTGTCCAAAAACAATTAAAGGCGTTAATGACGACGATTTCACAGGAAGTCAGGCGGGACTCGAGCTCGTCGGTGAAGACGATTCCAGTTTGAGAAACCCGGCGGGCAGACGTCCCGTTTGAGCGAGAGCGGGAAGAAACCTGCAGCAGAACCAGGCTCAGGGAGGGGCGGGGCTCATTCACCTCAAAGTAGTGTCAAGTTAATCTTAGGACACGCCCACTTTGCTTCCATTTTTTTCACCCACAGTTGTCTGACATCATCGACTTTCTCTGGTCACTTCCTGTGTTGACGCAGCTTTATGATATGTAGAGCTGGGCGATAGAACGATAACGATGTGTATCGCAAAATAACTTTTTCTCGATAGAAAAATTAAACTATTGCGATAGACCTCACCGTTTATGAACCTTCTCAAAAAAGAAGAACAGCCAATCCAGATTAAGTAGCGCAGAGCCGAACCAATCACAGCCACAGCGTCACGTCATGTGACTTGTTACGTACAGCACAA